TGCTCTAACAGCCGGAAAACACTGAAACAGCCGTAGAGCCCTTCCTCACTTCCCTCACAGACTGAAGAGCTGTGGTTCAGACTGGACTTCCCCCCTCCCCCGCCACCCTTCCTGGCATCTCGTGAAGCTGGAGATGGTCATCTTCAGACCAAGTAAAATACTATTTATTGTATTCAGGAACTCCTAATCTTTATAAAATTGGGTGCTTGGCAGGATCACGGAGCTGTTTATCTTCCCACCTAAGGGATTTGCTTAAAACTTAGATTTGATAACATTATTTCATTCCAGGGTAGTAGCAAGAAAATTACCTAAGATGTACAATTTTGTGGTTGGTCTAATCAGAGCAGTCAATAAATGTGGACCACAAAGCAAGAGGACTAAGACTTTTCTTGGTGCATTTCATTGTTTTTTAGCACCTCCTAGGTTTTAGACACCGGAAATGCTAGGATAAGACATAGTTTCTGCCCTTTTGGAGCTTACGGAGTCTAATTATTTGAAAGTCCAAACCACATGCTTAGGTTGCCCACAGAGACTAAAGATTCCTGTGCAGCAAGATTCAACTGCTGGGAATCTGGGGTTGAGTCTGAATGCGCCATCCAGGCAGGGGAAAATGTTATTAAAACAGCACAGAGACACAGTGGGCATTGCGTTGTGATAGCTGGTGTCCAGCTCATCGTGAGAGAGCCAGCACCATATGGCCGGCCTCACCGAGGTCATCGGGGCTCTGTCTCCAGCCTGTGGTGGCATCTCAGGTAGTCCAAGTAACTAACCATTAGTTCATTTTTTTCTTTCCCAGATAAGGTTGAGTCATCCCCAGGTGATCCCATGATGAGCAGATGGTACCTTCTGGGATACCATCCTATCAAGTGGAGCTATAGCAGAGGTTATCACAGCTGAGTCACTGCTGCTTTCGGTGGTGACTATTTCCTTTGGTTGCCGGCCAGTATCATCCTCCCTGCTTTTCTTCCTCCCTGCTGGACCAACCATTGCTTAATCAGGCACACGGGAGGAGATGCCAGTCAGAAAAGCCAAAGCCTACTGGCCTAGTCGCTGCTTGCTTTCTCTATCAATGATGCCCCCCTCCCAAAACAATAATGCATGAGGGCAAGGTGGTGGAAAGACCCCAGAGACCACTCACTATAGGCTGGCCTAACTTCAGAAGCTACTTTTTTAATAGCCATACAAGAAGATAAGACCATTTTCTGGCTTGGCTCCTGTGTGAAATTCAATCCAGAGCACACTTCACCTTCCATTTGGTCTCTAGCTGTAACCCACAACCACACTGAGAGTCCTTGGCTATACTCCAGATCGAGGACCAGAAAAACCATGCTAAGTTCGCAGCAGACTTGGTATGGGTATGTCTGACTATATTCTTATGCCTGTTGTCTCACATGCCTATTTAAGACTTCAATTTTGCCTCACAGTTGGTGTCATTAATCCTGTTTGGAATTCGGGGTGTAAGTTTGCTTCTAAACACTGGGATTCAGAGGCCTGGAACAGGGCAGTGTGACGAGCTAAGCCAGCCAGCTAAGAGTCTCTATTTCCTTTCTTGCTGACACATTTCGTTCTCATTGATTGATTGGTATCTGTCAAGTTATTTTACTGGTTTTCACGGTGGGCACTGTGGTTTGGAGAGATTTTATTATGAGTTTAACTATGTTTCAAGCACTCCTTTGAGTACTGGCTTTAGAGTGGTAAATACATAATACAAAAATCCCTGCCCTCATGGAGTTTCAAGTCTGGGATGGAGATGGTAACAAAGGAAGTAAAATAATAGGTTGAACTATAGGATGTGTCCATTTTTATAGGTCAGAAATGGTCAAATATTGGAAGTTTCATATGACTCAAAGAAATAGGTTCTATGTTAGTAATAAATGCTAAGGAGACATAAAGCAAGGAAAGGGGGGAGGTAGGTGGTTGGAATTTTAAGTAGAGTGGAATGGAAGACCACACCCACAAGGTGGCACTTGACCGTGGCCTAAACGCTGTCTGGAAGGAAAGCACTGCAGGTAAGAGGAATAGCAGGTGCAAAGGCCTGAGCATGGCTGGTACAGATGTCCAAGGAAAAGCCCTCTCGCTAGTGAGGCTGGAGCAGAGAGCACAAGGGCGAGAAAGGCAAAGGTGAATTTGAATAGGTAATATGTAGCCGGGTCATAGGGCCTTGAAGGCCAAGGAGACAGAGAAAGCTGGATTTTACCCTGAGATGGGGAACTTTAATGGGTTTTTTCTCACTTTTACTAAGAAGCAAAAAGAATCTGTTTGGGTAGGGTTTTATGACTAAGGAATGCTTATTAGGGCCCAGGAAACCACCAAGGCCCAGGCTCCTCATAAGCTGAACTGGGCCCGACAGCAGTGGAGTCAGGATGTGGTAAGGTAAGGACTGACTGTGGCAGTCACTGGAGAGGCAACCTGAATTGTTCAACTTACTGAATTCCTTTGGTAGAGAGCCTTTGTCTAAATACTAGAGAGATGAAAAATGGGATCTTTACATTTTTATTTATGTTTGCTCACCCAAAGGCCTGTTTTCTGTCTCTCATTGAGACGTAGGTCTTGCATTTTCATGGCGTCAGTTGTGTTAATGACAATCCAATGAGTGCTGGGAGGAGAGGTCACCAGCCAGGGCAAGGTAGACAGTGAGGTTTCCTCCCTCTGAGAATCTGGATAAGGCACTCCTGGTGTTTGTGTAGGCTGGCTGCCTGTGGTTGCAGCCCAGACCCCCTCCACTGGGGCTTGCAGACATACCCAAGCCCACTATTTATTACCCTCCCACCCAGACTGCCCTGTGGGCTTGTCAATATTCAAGCTGAGGCTCTGACAAACTGTGGTAAGGAAAGTTTCCCTGCTGTCCTTATTCACAAACTGATCGGCCAGTGGCTACCACAGGATTTTAAGATGGGCTTAGCTGAGCTACTGGAAAGGGGAACGGCCCAGAGTGTGGAGGGTAGTGCTGGAGTGAACGTTCACGTGCCAGAGAGTGCCTCTGAATCCTTACGGAAGTCCCAGCCATGGTACCTCACTGTTTCCCAGGTGGAAACTAAGGACCTGAGGGAGGAGACTACCAAAGTGCTGTCTACTTCAGGTGACGTTTCCTAGGGAAGGAGATGGGGATTAATCAGGCTTTATCGTAGGCCTTAGAAATTCAGAAGACTTAGCTCAGTAGATTTAGATCTCCCCAGCTGAGTAAGATATGTTCAGATGGAGACTAGTTTATTCTTCCAAGGGTATTAAATTATAGCTTGGGTTCTCCCCGTCCCAAATTATTACACCTTTCAAAATATACCCTCAAAACAGACCTGATTTGCTTATTCATAAACGGTAAACTTTAAACTGCTTGTGTTTATATATGGGAGAGGTCTGCCAAAGGCTCTAACCTGTTATCAGTTGCTAGTCTGTGTTCCAGTTTTGTTAAGGCTGTTACTGTTATGGATGTATAAAGTATCTTTTTACACACTTTAATATCCACAACCACTTCATGAGTTAAGGATTAGCCAGTTTTACAGGTGAAGAATCATACCCAGCGGTCACCCAGCTCATAAATGGCAATAGTTTGGATTCAAACCTCTATGGTATCTACGTCCGAGCTCTTAACTACTAACCGACCCACCTCTTAACTTAGCAAGTCTTTGCTAAAACCTTGCATAATCGAGTACCAACACATTCTCCACTGGCAGTCTTATTCTTGGGGGAATTAGCTCCGTGCTCCCAGTCCTTTCTAACAGCACCTCTCTGGGATGCCTCAGTCAGCTGTCCTTTCACTGGATGCTTCTAACCCTGGAGTACATTTCCCTACCTACTGCCCGGCACTCTGACCTATGCAGAAATAAAGGGTTGCAGGGTTAGAAAGACTTCTTTTTTGAAATACTATTCTTCAGACAGTGAACATATGAACCACTTCCCTATATTCCATCCCTGCTAGAAAGTCCCCTAAGGCCTCCAGAGTAGAACAATGGGGTTAATTTGGGAAGTAGGGAAAGTCCGATCTGAACTGCCAGGCCTGGCAAGAAGATGCTATGGCGAAGACAGCTATGACAGTTGTGACCTGTGGGCTGAAACACTGTTCCTGATCATCCTTCAAGCCTGATAGCACCACAGATTCAGTCATGTTTTTTCTGTGAGAGAGTTCCTGTAAATGACTTAGAAGCTTTGGTGTGGTAAACCCAGAGACCTTCAGGAAAGGTAGGAAAAGAGAATTTAGAACCACGATTAAATTATGAGGATAGAATTGCTACTGCAAGGTATCTTAAAAAAAAAAAGCAGCTTTTTGGGGGTATAAAGTTAGCAATCGATTTATATTAGGTATCATTTTGTGGAGAATACCATTTTTCTCCTGCCACACAAAATATAAGCCATCATCTTGCAACTGTTACAGCACAAAAGCAGCTGTAGGCAAAGGTCATAAACATATGGGCATGGGGTACATTCCAGTAAAACTTTATTTACAGGGGCGCCTGGGTGGCTCAGTGGGTTAAGCGTCTGCCTTCGGCTCAGGTCATGATGCCAGGGTCCTGGGATCGAGCCCTGCATCAGGCTCCCTGCTCAGCGGGGTACCTGATTCTCCTTCTGCCTCTACCCCTCTGCCTCCCCCGCCAAGCCTGGGCTCTCTCACTTGCTCTCTCTCAAATAAAATCTTAAAAAACAAAACAAAACAAACTTTACAGAACCAAGTCCACATTTCACTTGTGGGGTCCTTAGTTTGCCAACCTGTGCCTTAGACCGAAAGGGAAATGCTCACTGTAATAAGAGTTGTGTGGGAAGAACTAGCAACCAGTTTAATTTGCTTTTGTAGAAGAGAAATTATGAATGGATTCACATTCCAACATATACAAAAGAGGCTAAATATATTTCTTAAGAAAGTGATGGTATTTCTCAATCAGGTCAGATTAGTTGCATAAAGTAGTCCCTGCTGCTCCTACCAAACGGATGACAGCCTCTCTGTACAGTTGCTCACGTTACACTGTAAAGCCGTGGGGGTTTTCACCTGTCCTCTCTTTGCCTCGCAGGCTTGTTCCTGATCCTGGGTCTGATACTCTACCCTGCTGGCTGGGGCTGTCAGAAGGCCGTAGGCTACTGCGGACACTATGCGTCAGCCTACAAGCCTGGAGACTGCTCCTTGGGCTGGGCCTTTTATACCGCCATCGGAGGCACGGTCCTCACCTTCATCTGTGCTGTCTTCTCCGCACAAGCAGAGATTGCAACCTCCAGTGACAAAGTACAGGAAGAAATCGAAGAGGGGAAAAACCTTATCTGCCTCCTTTAGTTTGGAAGAGACGTAAATGCCCTTTTTCTTCCTGTGTCACCTTGTGAAAGAGTACCCCTCTGGTTTCCTCGTCTGAGTCAAGTGAAGAACTAGCCTTTACCTACCAAAGCCTACATTCCACGGCCCCAGGCCTTAACAGGACCAGTGCGAGGCACCATCCAGCTAAAGTGATTGCGCTCAAGGGCCACAGTTCCAACTGTCAGAGATGGAACAGGAAACTACTGCATGAACCCTGACCTGGAGTTGACGAGTCTGTCTGACTCCATCTCCTCCAAAGCTCATGAAGGATAATGATCTAAATCATTAAGGCAGCAGTTCCTCTGGTAACAGGAGACTGTGAGCTAGATTTGCAGGCTATATTGAGATGCATTTCTGCCACAAAGTTGCAGGCCTGTAAGCATCACTGCCTCAGAATGGGGTTTTGGGGTTGGTGTTTTTGTTTCCTCCTAGTTCTTCCAGGTCGTCTCAGAGACTAAAATGAAGACTGCATACTTGGGATAGGTTATGTGTTCGAGGGCATAATAAGACACTGCCTCTTAGGGCCAAAGGGGTCAGCAGGTCAGTGTGGAATCCCATTGTGGAACTGATTTTAAGCTGAATTCCAGGGTAAGGTTGGATCATTTGAACTGTCCCTCCAAGATTTTAGAAATCTGAGTAAGAATAAGGACCTATATGATCATGGGACTAGAAGTAGAAAAGTCCTGCTAGGGAAGACAAATGCATGCCACTGCCCAGCAGTCAGGCTAGCACCAGTACCGGCCCAGTCTCCTCTTCTAAAGGAGATCCCATATTTTTCTCCTAGGGTTAGGATCGAGCTTTGACTGCCAAAGGAAACCTCACCCTATTTCCTCATTCCAGGAACAGAGGTCTCCAAGCCAACTGTGGCTCATTCAGATATTCACTGAGAGAACTTGCCAGAATCTCAGCACTTGCCGGGAGACCTTTTCCCACTGTTTGGTAACCATGTGGTAGTCAGCTGTATTTCCAACCCCAGCAGCAATGGAATGACCTTTGCAGGAAAAAAAGGAGCTAGTCATGGGAGTTCAGTTTCTCCAGTTACTAGTGTTGTTTCTGAAAGCAGACTGAAAGAACATTAAAATTACTTCAGTGGGTGAGTTGCATCAAGCCTTCATACCCAGAGAAGCACAGAGTGGAAATTTAATACAGAAATGAGAGCTAGACCAAGCTCATAGCACCTGCCTATGCCTGTTTACAAAAAGAATGGAACACCACTATTAAAAAGGATTCAGGAGCTTATAATCTAGTTTCTATAAATTGCCAATAAAATTGATGCAGAAAAATGGTATTCACCACCACCTCAAATTTACTTTGGAATGATCTCAGTGGCAAGCACCTAGCTGGGTATTACCGAAGCTTCAGAATTGCAGAATGATACAGAAACACTCCTTCACAGTTTAGCAAGTTTGGAGTGGACCTACAAGATTTTTGGAAGAATTAAAAGTACAGGTCTATTTCGGCTTACGAATCTGTTCCCCTAAGAGCTTGCTTTGTTTTGAAAGCTTAACAAATCATGACTTTGCACCTTCTTTGGGTAAGGTATTGTATGCTAAGTGCCACCAGGCATAGAAACCTGATTCCGATTTTACAACACCGCCTGAAGTGAATCATCTCCAGGCTGAGTCTAAAACCATGCCTTGGTGCAAAACAAACAGTTGCTTTTAATGTAGAGGGAATGGAGCAACTAAACTTTTACTCCCTTCTTTGGGGCCTATACCACAAACCACTTTATCACCCAGATTAAGAGCTAAGGGCAAGAGGGGTGGTGGTATAGAACCTATAGGCCTTAATCAGTTCACCTTTCTTAGACCAAAGTTCAGAGTAAGCAAGATTTAAGTCCCCAGAGACATAGGGTATGGAAGCCGATGGACAGGGCTCCTGTCCCTGCTGTGTATTTTTATGCTCTAACCAACTCCCAGTGCCCACTGTAACTACTTTTTAAACCTTGGCAGTAATTTTCATTCAAAAAAACAGCGGGGGGGGGGATTCCTTTCATCAGTAGATTCGCTCTGTTTTTTTCTGTACAAAATCAGTGTTAGGAAATGGGTTCTCTTAACTCCCTTTTTACAGAAAAGTTAAAGTCCTAAGCCCTGAGGACCTTCTGAGACTGGCCATCATTTTTACTGCCTGACTGCTCTTTGGCTAAGGTGGTGGCATATCTCTAGAATACCCTGATAAAGCAGTAGTCACAAGTGAAAATGCTACTTCTCTTGGCCAGAAGAAATTCGCTTGACTGTTTTTATTCCATTAGTCTGACTGCTACAGACGACAAAGTACATGCACACACATACATCACCCCAAACCACTAAAAACTACTTAAACACTGACTTAATAAGCAGAGCAGAGATGGAATTTCTGTAGCAGAGACAGAGTAAGAACTAATGTTGGACCTTTTAAACCTTCAGTCCATTAGCCAGGCTTTGGGAAAAATGAAACGTCAAAATCATGCTAGTCTACACCAACCAGTACAGCTGTTTAAAAACCACTGAATATGAGGAATGTATTAGAAATATGTTAAACAAGTGGACTGATTGTTGACCCACATTTTCCTAATAAATATCAATCATCTAATCACCTCAGTCCAAAAATCTAATACACCTGGACCATTACTACTACCAGAAAAGTCTTATTTATTTTTGCCTGCATTTGCGCTTAAAGTTTTGTGATGGGCTGGGCTTCTCAGTGAACTCCAAGAAGGCAGAAATACTTGCCTTGGATTCTGTGGATTTTTTAAACCTGTGTGCTAATTCAACGATGTTACACTTAATTGTGTAAGGGTTTTTGTATAGTTTTCAAACATCTGTGGTGTAATGATCTTTGTTAAACATGTAAAGTGCCATAGTCTTTTTTTTATGTGTAGCATATTTAAAATATATATATGTATATTATACATACACAAGTCTGTGTGAAAGATGTGCAATAACAAAGGTGTATGTATGTTTTGTTTTGTTTTTTTGGAAACTGGACAGGAGTCAGAACAGGGATTGTTTCTGTTTTGGCAAAGGAGAGTTAAACATGTTTGCCTTCATGGCCTAGTCATTAACCCATAACAATTTAAATGCTACACAAACCGATGTGAAGAAAAGACTGGTATGAAATCATGTATTCCTGGGTCTACATTAAAATAATCACTAGATTTACATGAAAATTAAGCCAGCACCAGGCCCAGTTAATGCTAGTCTTTCATGTGAAATGTGAAGCTGCCACATTGCCTTTTCTGTTAGTGTGAAAACTAGTAGCTGGGACATAATCACTAAGGAGCTTTTTCTTAACATGCTTTGATAGACCACGTTAATGCTAGACCACTATTTAAGGGCTGATCTCACACCTTCTTAGCCATAAGAGTCTGGCTTAGAACAGACCTCTCTGTGCAATAACATGTGGCCACTAGGAATCCCTGGCCTGCATTTCTATTTGGGCAGCGATGACTCCCAAGGGCCAAAAGAGTTAAAGGCATGACTGGGATTTCTTCTGAGACTGTGGTGAAACTCCTTCCAAGGCGGGGGGGGGTCATTAGGTGCTTTGGAGGAACTCAGCATCACTTGATATTCAGTAGCCACTTGAGCCAAATAGAAAACTGTATTTACCGCTAATGGACTCAATTTGAGCCTTCAAATTTATGGTTATCCTATTATACTGTAAACTAATACATTGTTTGTCTAGCATTGATTAGGTTCCTGTGCATATGTATTTCACAATGCCCTCCCCTCCCCAGATCGGAATTAAACCAGATTTTGGAAACTCAATCTGATTTTTTCAAGTCTAAGTATATTGGTTTCAACAGAATTACATAATTTTCTCAAGAAAACACCTACTATTATAACAGAAAAAAAAAAACCTACCAGTCAACTTTTATGTTAAACACTAACTTATATGTAATATTAATGATGGGGGGGAAAATGTTCAGGTATTTTAACTATTCCATTCATTAGTACATATGTATCTCTAGGTTACCTTTAACTTCAGGATTAAGGACCTATTTCTTTCTTGGAGAAGCATCAACATAAATGGGGAGAGGGGAACTCTCAAATATTATACAAATATCTTAATTTTACAGTAAATTTAAGAAATATGAAAATGTTTCCAAGCATTAAAAACACTTTTTGAAGAAACATGTATAATAGTGACAAAGAAAAAAAGTCAGTTGAAGGGCACAGTCTCGTCCAACAAAAATACCAAAATTAAAGCCAGTTCTGGAGGAGGTGCACATCCACCTTTCCTGAAGGTAGTCCTGCCCATAGAGAGCCTCATCAAGAAGAATTCTACTTTAGAAATTCAAAGATGACACTAATAACACTTCTCATAAACTCTTTCAATTCTGCATATCCCATGAAGCACTTATCTGATAGAATAAACAAAAATGGCTCTTTCAAGGGCCGTGACAGCTGAAACTACTTTTATGCTTTGGCTTCTAAAGATACCTGACACCTGCTAAGTTTCTAATAGAAACAAAAATTAAAAGCTGACAAAGTTATCCGAATCAGGAAAGAAAAAAATTTTCAAAAGAATTATGATCTAGGTAGTCTAAGCAAAATTGGAAATCTTCACTTGCTTTTTCAGCTTTCACATCTTTAATCCAAAAGAGAAAGGACCCTGGCTTTACAGGTCAGCAGAGGCTGGGAAAACCTCACATGTGCTTCGCATTTCATCCTTATCAACTTCCCACATTTGATCTTCCTGGAACACTGCATTCAACTTACTGCTAGCTCTCCTTAAAGTCTTTCCTTAACATTAAACCACTTAAGAACAATCTTACTATCGAAAAATAGGACATTTATTTTAAGTGGGTTATTTCAATAGTTTCCATTTATTCACCACCCTTTCAACCCTCAAACACTAAAGAATAATGGCATCAAAGCCAACGTTTAGCCTACTCTTCAGAGCAGCAAGAACCAATAATTGCCTCTCTCTCAGAGTCCCTATCTATCAGCTGCTTAATCATTTGGCTGCTGTCCCTTCTACTATCTTCTTCCTTGCAGCTT